CAGGTGCCCTGTAGAGCTATCTACTTGTTATGGGTTTATATTCTAGGACCTTGGTTCTTTGCTCAACCCGAGGAAACAGAAGTGGATCTAAAGAAACAGAAGAAAATGGAAAGGAAAATGAAAAGAGCAGGAATGATGTAGCATATGAGCGCCTGTACAGTTTGAACAATCAACTTAAGTACTTCTGATTGACGTGAGAAGGGAACTAGCAACCCCGGAAATCAGAAAGACAACGCGTGATAGGAGCACAAGAGGGGTGGGGTGGAGATAAGAACCACCACCTGTCCTCACCCCTAGTGCTTCAGTTTGCCACTAATGTACCTTTCTGTTTCAGTTCTTCATTAAAAATGAAGTAAACCAAATGGAATGGCTATCTATCCAGCATTACGTACTTCTGTCAATTTGGAATTCTTGACTTAATTTTCTTAAGGCCATCCTGGACCGTTGCTGAAAGAGGTCCATGAAGAGTTGTCTACGTTGAACAATTAATCTAGGCCAAGGATGATTTGTAGGGAATATATTTGGGCGTAGTTCCTCCAACCCATCGAGCGCTACCTTTCTCCTAATCCGAAATTAGAGCGCTTTTCGATTAAGTGTCGTTAAACTAAAACCAAGGTAATTACAACGGCCAATTAGAAGAAAGGAAAACACCCTGAAGAGCCAATGAGAACTCAAAGTAAAAAAAACAAGCAAACCCAACTGAAGCGCGGGAAAACGCGGCCGACATAGTCGTGACTGGTGTTAGTATTACTTTTGATTGGTTGAGAAAGTGGCGTGAAGTTTCAGGACCAATCAAGTAAGGCGAAATTAATGCAATCCCGGATGACTTTCGACACTGAGTTGAAAATTGCTCTATCAGCCAGCTTGTTCACAGACTTAACATCATCTCTCAGATCCTCTTCCGGAGTGCAAGTAAGGCAAGAGTTGCGAGTAATTAACTCTTAGAGCGCTTTTCAACTGAATTTCTCTCACTCCAAGACTCTCTTTTAAATTAATTTTACACCGGTTAATGTTCTTGTCGTTCACATTTGTTTCCTCAGTAACAGGTAATTGATTTTCATCTTTCTGGGATCTCGGGTTTTACCTTACCGCAGCATTCCCACGCGGTCCAAAAGTTCGCCTCCCATTTTCTTCAGCCTCTGCTTAAGTTGCAGTTCCACTTAATAACTCAATAAAGGCAATTCTAAACTCTTTTAAACTGGCTACGTGAATAAACGGGTTGAACAATGAGTTTGATATTGCAAACGACGGAGAAATTAAAATACTAGCATACATGACCTCTGGAGACGTGTTATTGCGATGGACTACCAAAATAAATCTATAGAGGAATAGAGGTGTATAACAAAGGAAAAGGACCAGAGCGACGGTAGCTGTTAGTTGTAGAGATTTCCTGTTCAGTAGAATTTTCAGCCTTGCCTCTGCTGCTACTTGTTGTGAAATTTCGTTTTGATGTCGTCGAACCTCGTGATGAACAGTGAAATGGCAAAAAATGATCGTAACCGGAGAAAGGACGATGAATGTGTTTTTGAATCCAAAAGCTACTTGTGGGTGAATAGAAAGAGGTATTTGCAGGACGAGAGAAAAGAACCATGCTGAAGCAGATGTAATCAGCAAATGGGCTTCCGTTACGAGTCCAGTATTACTGGCGAGTGGGTGCTGTATGGTCAGATATTGTTCCCAACTTATAGGGACCAAGTGGGTAAGATACGACGTATCGCATAGGAAATTCGTGCGCAATATTGCGACAGGTTTAATGCACACGCTCCTATCGTTCTCTTCCCGACAAACACTGATGTCGTTACAGCAATGAACATTGATTGAACAATCACACCCACGGCTAAATCAGACACGGCTATACATGCGAGCAGAATATTAGACTTGTTGGCTCTCAACCGAGATTTCGTTCGCACAGCCATCACAACCAACGCGTTTAAAAGCCGTGAAAGGGAGTGAAAAGATGTTTAAGATGATAAAAGATAGAAGAACAGCCTTGATTTAAGTGGCAGAGGGGGGCAGCTCCCCCGCTGGAAGAACATGCCTTTTGGAACTAGGTGGAGGTACCTCGTAGTCCAGTCGGCTTGAATTCATAGCTTCTGTGACTCTTCCTCTCTCGGTATACTATTGCTAGTATACACTTTCTGTCCTTTGCGATCCAAATACGTGTTTACATTGCTATATACTTCCTTTGTTGACGGTTCTTTTGTCTTCTGGTATATCCCAGTTTTGTGCTCATTTTCCTTTTTAGGTCTTTTATAATAAATAGCATACTGTTATTGTATTTCATCTGACTTTTCATGACAATTTTTTTTGGCAGGGTTCATTTTTCTGGAAAAAAAATTGTTTAATACATTTCCCTGCAAAAAATTTGCTGACTCATAGTGATCAACTGAACGATGAATGACTTCAAACGAAAAATGATTATAAAACGGGCACTAAACGCTACGGGAATATGAGTGACCATAGTTATTGCCTGAATTGACAAAGAAATTAGTCAACGCCCTTTTTTTTCTTTTAAAAACAATGAGTAATTCTTAACCAAAGTAAATGCCCTAAACATGAATAAGCTGCCTGAAATGGAAATTAGAGGTATGTTCCACGAAGATTAGCCACCATTTTCTGACCAGCTGGTACCTGAAAACTTCTTCCCACCAGCTTTACAACCACTGACAGACCCTGACGCGATGTCGTTGAGAAACGAACAAAGAAATCATTTCAAACGGGGAAGGCTTATACGAGGCCGAAAAGTTTATTGTATCAAAACGTAGAATAAACAGTTTACTATTTTTGCTGAGTTTGATTAGTACAATAATGTAATGGATCGTAAAGGAACAACATGATAACATGAGATCGAAAAAGAAAAAGCAGCTGCAATCGCCATAATTTTTTTTTCATTCGGTGTCGGATGGGATGAGAATTGAATTTTTAAAGATACCAAAACGCTAGTTTGCAGGTCCAAAATTAGTCAGTGCATGACCCAAGTTGTGGTCGTGGGATGATGCAAAATGTGAGAAAAGAGCTCTTTGTTGAAGCAGATGACAGTTTGACCGACGGAGTTATATTAAGTGCCTAGTGAATTTCCTCGCATAAGCGCCTACGCTTTAATAAGCGCCCACGCTATAATAAACACCCCCCACGACTAAGCGCTCTCCTCTTCCCTCAGGCACTTTCTTAAATAGTAGGCTTACAAGGAAAATATATTTCTCAGAATTGCCCCTTTATAACTTTTTCAGCTTTAACTACAGAAAAATCAGTACGGCGGAATGATTAGCAACCCCCTTTCATTAAGCACCCGGGTGCCTATATGGGGAACAACGGTAAGTAAACCTAGGGAGTTGATACGCTTGTCTATGCAATCTATTGTTTTTCACTAGTTTTCCCATAATTAATCAAGGGAAGAAAAAAGAAAAGGAAATGATGTGCTATTGCTGCCAATCCAATAATAATAACTAATGCAAAATTAATTATTTCGACCCCAAAAGCCTGCTTTTGAAACGAGTACTAAACTGAGGCCAGGGGTGGGGGTGGGGGGGGGGGGTATCTTTTCCTTTGTGTAGTCCCATCACCACCTGACACGCTCACTCTGAAACATCAAGTTGAAAAAAAATACTGCCACATGCTTCTGATATTGCTTATCGAAGATTTATAAATGCAAGCGTATTCAAAACGCACAATGAAAGGCCACTTGGCTTCGTAAAAGAGTGAGTCACTTCTTGGCAGATTAACGCGACTATCATCTGAAGCTTCGCAAGGACATAGTCTGGCAGCCGGTGTATCACGAAACGCCGCGCCCACGATCTACACGTTTCTTGCTTCCTATAATTATATGTTTAATGGCTTTGGTTTTTCTATTCGAAACTGGAAAACCGCGGTTAACTTTTCCGTCGAAACTGAAACCCCGCTTTTGAAACCGAAAAACCGCTTAGATTTTGTCCTCATATACCGGAGAATGATCGTCATTAATATAGAAAGAACGAAAACCGCAGTAGATACCGAAACAGCGGATAAGCCGCGCCAATTGTTGACTAACTGATCCGCTCAAACGCGATCTTGGTTTGTTTGTTTTTTATCAGAGCCACATGGTTCCTCATCAAAACGATTTGAATTCAAGCGTTTTTTTTCTTTCCATTAGAAAAGCTTCCACTTCAGAGGCACTCGCGTCGCCAAGTAACTGACCGACGTGCCATCTCCCTGCAGAGCTGCCATGAGTCACGAATTTGTATTCCGCGAACAATTTGACAGAAGCACTGATGGGAGGATGAACGTGACATCTGTCAACGGAAAAATTGCTGACAGCCGAAAAGGAATTCGTTCTATTACGAATGAAGTTTTGCACGGGAAGATAGTAATGATCATGAAAATCGGAAAAACGAAAAAAGAAAAATCGAAAAAAATCATTTTTCTATCATCGAACGTTTCTTCTTTAGTGTTTCTCTAAGAGGAAAGAGCCGATTTCGTGATTAGGAGTACAAATTATGCATGAATCTTATTAAGTTTTTGCCAATTTGTGCGCTTCAGTTTTGTTCTGGATTTAGTGTGCACCGCAGCTTCGGTATCAACTTTTTCAACATGTAATTTCAATGAGCGAAAAGTTTTTTTTTGTGTTATTTTCTCTTTTCTAGTTTAATATAACTTTTGTATCAACTTACGCTGATTGAATTTCGCTTTCGAGCGATTAATACATCTCTTTTTTCCGGTTTTGATGGACATCTTGGCGACTTTTCCGGATTCTAGTCGGTCCATGAGATTATAGGTAACATTTCTTTTGCTTTTTATCTACATGAGATTCACCACGTTTACGCGCGTAATGATCAGAATAAATTATGTTGCGATTCATAGCACGTGTCAGAACAAAGGTAAACGTGTAGGATGGATGGCAAAGCATTCATTCTTTTATAATCATGAAAATGACGGAGATCACGTAGCGAGGGTTTTGTGCCAAGGGAAATGCAGCTGCGCCAGTTATCTGAAGCTTTTCCACAGTGACCGCTTAAAAAAGATTCTTAACTGATAATGTTTTCTTTTATTTTCATTAATTCGTTCTTGAAAGTGAACTACTAATTGACCGTTTTTCACAAGTATCAACAGCAAAGCCCGCTAGAAATAAAACATAAAATAAACAGATTTTCACCTTACGATGAATGTACCATTTAACTTATGTACAATTTTAAAATTTAAAAAGCTTCTCGCACAGTTCTTGGAAGTCTTTTCATGATTGGCTGCAATTTTTTAAGCAAGATCTGAGGTTACATGTAGTTTATGATAGCGGCTCATGGTCAAAAGTTGACTTAATGGAGACTTCTCTTTGGCTTAATGACAAAGCAATTTCGATCAGTGAACAGAGGGCCCAAGTTCTGAATCCTTTTTGGGACTGGCTTCATTTTTTTTTGCTCCTTACTCGTGATAAATGCATGGCCAATATCTCTTTATATGATCTGTAGAGTTGTCTTGTATAGCACCCCTGATGAAATAACCAACATTCCCGATTACACTTGGATTATTGGTTCATTCGACTCTGGCGTATCGTTGATAATGACATTAATTTGAGGTAACGTTCGTTCGTGTCGCGAAACAGCAATGTTAGATACCTCATCACTGTTCATATTCACGTTTGATACGGGAGACGAAAGTCTGAAATTTGCGTCGCTTGGTATAATGATGGGTAAAGCAGTGCGTGTTATTGCTTGAGTCAGCGAGGTGACATTGTTTAGCTCCATACCGTTGGTGAAATTACCATCACTGGCTGCCCTCGGTCTGCTGTAATAATACGACAGGCGTCTCGCTAGCAAACGCTTTTTGAGGCCCTCAAGCGACACCTTAATGTGCCATCCATTTATCATGGCAAAGAACACGATGTTCATGAAGAAAAACCCGAGAGGAACGTACTCCAAAGACAAAGGTGTGTAAGACGAAAGAGTTATCACGAGCAAGGCGATAGGACACAGCGCCCTTAGTAAAATTGTGAGAAAGAATCGGAGCGCAGACGTGCACAAGACGAGCCAACCGGTTTTGCTCACGCCCAGAAATCGAAGCAGAGAGTTCAAGTCGAATACAAAGACGCTTCCCTCGAAAAGAAGCCCCACTACGCCAGATATTGAGTTCTGTCTGTAAGCAATTATCACGCCGTAAGTCGTGGCAGTCACAAAGTGATGCAGCAAGCTAATCTTGTATAGAGGGAGCTCGCGTCTCAATAAAAAGTCCTGACAAAACTTGAACACGTAGTTTCCAAGGTATATGGCGAAGAAGATCAAGAAGGTCGATGATGTGTTGCGAAGAGGCTTGGTGTACGTGTCTCTCGAGGAAGAGCAGTACAGTCCACAGGAGAAAAGCAGGATGGCAAAAATTTGGTCCCTGAAGCTGGAAAGGGAGAAAAAATATGTGTGATTAATTAAATACAAAGCAAATCCACAAGGGATCAGATTACTTTATTTCCCGCCCTTAGCCGATATCAGGAACTTTGAGTATTAAGGACGAAGCCATATTGACCGAGGATTAGAAATTATATTAGGACTTTACCTGACGGGGGAACCATTCGGCAAGAAATAATGAAATTGATAAATTTATGACCCTCAGAATAAATAAAAGTCGAAATGAATAAATCATATATTTCTGTACAATGAGTTAAAGCCTTAAGCTAATTGTTAATTGGCGTCAGAACCATCGTCAGCTGACTGCAAAAAAAGGCGCTATTCCACACAGAGACACGGGAACTTATCAATCGGTGTAAGCCGCGTTCTTAGCGGAGCACCGCCAATATTTACAGTATTGTTCTCCTCTACCCTTCAATATCCCCTGTATTCGTTCAGCGGATTACAGAATACTAACTATAGTTTTTGTGGCTTAGAACTTATCCGTGCAAGTGGTCCTATTCTCGTCCTCAACGCGGAAGTAGGGCAAGATCAGAGCTGCTATTCTCTTCAGTGAACACCATACAATTTTTTTGTTATTAGTAACAGGAATATAGCGATAGATCAAGACTCCCCCAGTTTTACTTTGGCCTAATTTTTTACTCTTTGTCTTAACAAGGAGAGAAAAGTGCAGCAAAGTTGCAAATTGATACTCTTGAGATTCATGGAGTTCGGCATAAAGTTAAACGCTACGGGATAAGCTTCTAGAATCAACTTTTGGATTAGATGCCAATTAAAGAGAATTCAAATTTTGTCACGCAAGACTGCAGCCTTGTCACATTTTTAAATTCGTGCTTGAAAAGTAATTTATTCGTCGGCGTCTCGATCAAGCCACATTCGATCTTTTACAAAGAAAATAAAGTAATTCGAAAATGAAACAAACTCTCAATGGATACACGTGTGAAGGCTAAGACCGCCTGGTAACTATCCACGTGTCGAGAGGAAAAAACACGCGTCTAGTTGTAACTTACATGATAATGTCAAGATTCGATACGGAAGCTGAAATTTGGCCAATCAGCTCACTTGTTCTTTTAGGTCTACGATGGTCTTTGTTTTGTTGCAATCCTGTTGTACTATTTTTAGATAACGGGAAGGTACTGCGCTGTAAATATACTATTTTGAAAACCGAAATCTACGAAAAAACAGAATGAATTATTACAACCGTGCGTGTTATTCCCCGTAAATTGTTTAAAGCTGTGTTCGTGACAGAATGACATTTCTCGTGTCGCAATAAGTTACATAAGGGGTAAACCCCAAAATACCGAGGTCACATTTCTAAGATTTTTCTGTGTGAAATTCAAATATGAAGGATAAACGTTTTAAAGACGCCTATTGACTAGATTTTCGGGGCATTAAATGAAAGAACAGCCGTTATATCAGGAACATTATAAGAATCGAAGTCAGGAGGTCGATCGGGCTTCACGTAGCCGAATCGATCATTAGCCAAAGCCAATTATTATTGTGCTCGTAGCACTTTTTCAAACCAAGCGGGAAACTCTGCAGGCTGTTATGAGCTAAGATGGCTATCGAAATTAAAACACACAAAGCCACAAGCAGAAAGTGAAAGGAGTTTGCGGAAAAAAATCGCTGGAAAGTGACAGTTCTAAAAAACAGCTGGTTGAGGTTCAAAATTGGGTCTCTAAATGTACTTATTATTCAGTAATTGCAATAATATAGAATATTTTTTTATCGCATGAAAAACACGCATGTTTTTATCACACAATAGTGCTCTTTCAGAATTAAGTGAAAATTCCGTACTTAAGGAATACTACGTAAGTTTAATTTCCTGCAGCGAATCAATCGTGGATCTTTAGATATTAATATTTTGTGGTCAACATTCATTTTGAATTTTCCTTACAGAATATTTCTTTTCCTTGTTTAGAACGTCTCGATACTTATTATTCTTTAAATGATTTTCAAGACAACATTCAATACTCGTCGCTTTCTTTGACCAGAACGTGCTTAAATCTTGACGCAATACGCGCGTGATACGATGTGTTCATGCGTGAAAACACGCGTGAAATAACGACCTTCAGCATGAATGAATGATTCGCGGAAAAGAGCTTCAACGAAAGCGCCCTACTGAAGTTTAATGGAATAACACTGTTTACTTCCACGCTTCCTTTCCATGAAAAATGTCTTTCGAGAGACATTTTCCCCTTACGATTATTAAAAAAATTACTGTAAAGAAAAAATTGAAAAGGTTATAGCGGTACTTACAGTTTTCGGATGAGCCTTGGTTTTTCCTTGTAGAATTTGATCAGCCGTTTAGCGATCTCGCTATCTGACTTTGAAATAGGAAAGGCGAGCACTGGAGCGAGGAAGAAGTAAACTCCAGCTGAAACATTCACAGTCAGTGACAGGACTAAAAAGAGAAACAGATTCGACGAGAACATGATTTCCAAATTTCATTTCGGAGTTTCAGCAAAGAGAGATATAAGTAGTTTAGTCTGTGGACCTCCAACCGATCCTCATTTAGGTGTAAATGTACGGAAGACGATGAAATCACACAGGAACTGGGAACTGGCAACGTTCTGAGATAATTTTTCCTAGACTAAATAAACATACGATCCCTTGCGGTCAGAGTTGGTCGCACACGGTGTAGTAGGAATTAAACTGTCAAATCTTCTTTTCCGCGAAATACTGCGTACTGGTTGACTGACGTTCCTGAGAAATTATCACTTTCGTTTTTGCGTCGCTTCTTATACTCTATCGGTGAAGTACATTAGAGCCCCTCGGTGCCAGCGGAATATATTCTTTTCAGCAAAAACTTCCTGGATCTCAGTACCTTAGTAGCAGAGTGCAAATCAACATGTAAATTATTACAGACAATAAACTTTGGCCTCAATTAAATGTGCAATTTTTGTTTTCGGCTTAAGCGGGGTCAGTGAGGTCTCATTTACCGGAAGTAAACATCGTGGGTCCTGGTATCCTAAGTTCTACGATAAACATTTCTACAAGAACAAGGGAAATTCATTCATGCAAAACCGGTGTACTGGTAAAATGTAAATTACTTCGAACATTTAAACCCGGGAAACGACATTTTATCGAATAGAGATCTTCTTCATTCAAAGAAAAGTCTGCTACTTGTAACAAAACGAAAATAGAAATCCGGTGTTCTTTAAAAAAGCATGACACATGCTAGGTTTTGTTAATAATTCGACTTTTTTATAACCTCGATTCAGTTGTTTCTCTCACAGCGGATGTTGATAGCGGCGGTCGACGTCATGATACAAGGGAAGTCGTAAGAGACTGACTAATGAAATCGTAGTAAACAAACTGAGAGCTGACAAATTTTCCCTTGCGCTTGTTATTACCTTGTTCTCTTATTCAATTATTTTTTTACCTTCTATACTAAGATTTCAAAAGTTCCCTTCAATAATCTTAAGGTAGAACGGTTAGCAAGTAGTAACACCAGCTGACTGTACAGATAAACAGATGGACGTAACTCAAAAAAGGTTTAAAATTTACTGCCGGAAAGTTCCCTGTCATGAAAACTGGCGTAGATCGGTTGTGAAAAATGACATTGTGTTTTTAGGTAAGCTTGGAGTTTTTTTTTCGAGCTGACAGATCTCTCTTGTTGTAGTTTTTCTCATGACATAGCTTGCCGTTCTAATGTGAGGCAAAACAAAATCATTCGCCGGGTAGTTATTTCTATTTTTTCACACATTTGGTGTTCTGCAATAAATATACTTCACTCTTAGACCAACATATATAAATAATTGAGTAGTAGTTTTATGAGTTCAAGTCTTCCTGTTTTATTCAATGTAATCAATGACAATATGATAAAAGAATGTTCTTATTGCTTTTAACCACTATTCCATAACTCGAAAACAAAGGAGAAACGCGTCATAGTGGAACAAGTGTTCTTGAGTTGTAATTAATTCGAGCCTTAAAACTGTTGAGTCGGCCAATTCATTTTTTCGTGCTGCTATTTTCAAAATTTTTGAAGAAGAGTAATTTTATTTAACTTTACTACTCCCCCTTGACATTTGCAACGTCTTCCTTCCATTCTGTGGCTGTTAAAAGAAGATTTTGAAAACAGGAACATCAAAATGATGCAGCCGTGAATTCATAATTGCTGTCAGTTGTTGAGTTAGGCAAGCTCACGTAAAAATGATAAAGCAGCGCTGTTATGAATTTAATGCTTACAGTATACTCCATTTTTCAAAGAACTAAGATATTCAGCCGAATTATTTTCTGTAAGATAAGGAATTCTTTCATTCCTATTTCAAATCGTTTTGCATATTTTCGATTAACATCTGAAAGCCCTCCAATAATATTGAACTTATCCTGTCGTTTATTTTTAAAAACACGAACCCTTATATATCATGCATGCAAAATTGCTTCATACCCTGATCTTTACAACCAGAAAACATAGGCAAATTACAGAAACCGCACTGCCTTGCTGAGGAGATTTCTTTCTTTCGGAAAGACAATGTTTTTGGTCTCTCTTCATTCTTATGTCAGTCTGTCGATAATTATCGTGCACAAGAGTCCGAATTCATGCATAGAGAGCGTTTACTTAGCTAAAATTCCTTTCCTTAAATAACTCCGTCATAGTTTATTTTCGATGAATTCAGAGTACAGTTCTCGCAATTCCCCGACATTATTTTTCAACGGGTTTAAACGCCATCCCGCTGTTCTCGCATGATCCTCTTTTGCTGAAGGAAGGATGTAAGCTGTTAATTCGTGATGTTGCTTCGCCACAATACTTTTAGATGTGCACGTTTCACACAAAGGTATTAAGCGAAACAGGAACAGTAGGTCGCCCCATGTTGGCTTAGCACTCGAAGCTCGAGACAAAATATTAGAATCTGTTAACTGTGCAACTGGCTTTCCGCGCTCACGTTGAAGCAAACAGGTAGCTGGT